ATCCACTAAAAAACAACTTCAATGTTGAAAGATTTTATTTGTTTTTTTAAAAACACCTAATCTAGGCAAAAATAATGGGGGTTTAGTTACATTATATGATCATACAGTGCATAAGCCTGCCACAACGTCAATGTACCCCATCCTTGGCAGGTCCTACACTAACAGCCTAATGTCTGCTCTTATGAGATTAACCTACTTGGGGAAAAAAATTCCATCTGGGGCTCTCTGCAGTACAAGGCTAAATAGGGCCCTGGGATGAGGCACCTGTGAAAGGGAGGGGTGCAAAACCAAGGAGTTGGCTAGACTCCAAAATATATATAAAACAAGAGGGGGTTGGCTGCACTCACCTTAACATGCATAAATGGGGGTGCGGCTGGTGGCCAAATAATACAATACACAAGATCCAGCGCACTCACCCATCCACTAAACAGCAACTTCAATGTTGAAAGATTTTATTTGTTTTTAAAAAAACACCTAATCTAGGCAAAAATAATGGGGGTTTAGTTACATTATATGATCATACATTGCATAAGCCTGCCACAACGTCAATGTACCCTATACCCTTTGGCAGGTCCCCACTCAACAGCCTAATGTCTGCTCTTAAGGAGATTAACCTACTTAAAAAAATTCCATCTGGGGCTCCCTGCAGTACAAGCTACAAATAGGGCCCTGGGATGAGGCACCTGTGACAGGGAGGGTGCAAACCAAGGAGTTGGCTAGACTCCAAAAATATATATAAAACAAGGGGGGCTTGGCTGCACTCACCTGAACATAAATAAATGGGGGTGCTGCTGGGGCCAAATAATACAAAACACAAGATCCAGCGCACTCACCTATCCACTAAACGGCAACTTCAATGTTGAAAGATTTTATTAGTTTTTTTAAAAACACCTAATCTAGGCAAAAATAATGGGGGTTTAGTTACATTATATGATCATACAGTGCATAAGCCTGCCACAACGTCAATGTACCCCATCTTTGGCAGGTCCTACACCAACAGCCTAATGTCTGCTCTTATGAGATTAACCTACTTGGGGAAAAAAATTCCATCTGGGGCTCTCTGCAGTACAAGGCTAAATAGGGCCCTGGGATGAGGCACCTGTGACAGGGAGGGGTGCAAAACCAAGGAGTTGGCTAGACTCCCAAATATATATAAAACAAGAGGGGTTGGCTGCACTCACCTTAACATGCATAAATGGGGGTGCTGCTGGGGGCCAAATAATACAATACACAAGATCCAGCGCACTCACCTATCCACTAAACAGCAATTTCAATGTTGAAAGATTTTATTTGTTTTTGTAAAAACACCTAATCTAGGCAAAAATAATGGGGGTTTAGTTACATTATATGATCATACATTGCATAAGCCTGCCACAACGTCAATGTACCCCATCTTTGGCAGGTCCTACACTAACAGCCTAATGTCTGCTCTTATGAGATTAACTTACTTGGGGAAAGAAATTCCATCTGGGGCTCTCTGCAGTACAAGGCTAAATAGGGCCCTGGGATGAGGCACCTGTGACAGGGAGGGGTGCAAAACCAAGGAGCTGGCTAGACTCCCAAATATATATATGTATATATATGTTTTATATATATTTGGGAGTCTAGCCAACTTCTTGGTTTTGCACCCCTCCCTGTCACAGGTGCCTCATCCCAGGGCCCTATTTAGCCTTGTACTGCAGAGAGCCCCAGGTGGAATTTTTTTCCCCAAGTAGGTTAATCTCATAAGAGCAGACATTAGGCTGTTAGTGTAGGACCTGCCAAAGATGGGGTACATTGGCGTTGTGGCAGGCTTATGCAATGTATGATCATATAATGTAACTAAACCCCCATTATTTTTGCCTAGATTAGGTGTTTTAAAAAAAAAAACAAATAAAATCTTTCAACATTGAAGTTGCTGTTTAGTGGATAGGTGAGTGCGCTGGATCTTGTGTATTGTATTATTTGGCCCCCAGCAGCACCCCCATTTATGCATGTTAAGGTGAGTGCAGCCAACCCCCTCTTGTTTTATATATATATATATATATATATATATATGTATTCTGTATAGTTTTAAGGCCAAAGGCCTGTATTTGTTGGAGGAGTTTTGCCATATATAAACCCTATCCCACCTCCTACCTGGTCTGTTCTGTTTCAGGTGATCCTGGTTTAATAGTTATACTTCTCGTTCGGTCCTTCCCACACTGCTGCAGCTCGACTCGTGTCTTCGGGTACTTCCTGTGGCCTTCCCAGGCTCCATCTCTCTGACACCTCTCTCATCCTCACTGCTCGAACCTTTTAAGGCCACAAGACCCGGCACTCTACATGTATGTACATGTGGAAATGGCCATTCAGGCTATTTCCACTTTCTGGCCTAAAAACGCTTGGCTCCCTTTCTATTACAATTTCATATGTTTCCATTCACTTGTTTCTATGTACGTTCGGGGAGTTACTCGCATGTTTTCCATACATACGGTTCAATGTAGATTTTTGTACATTTTGGGGGCAGGGCGTTGCTGCCGAATGCATATGCAGAGCTCGAGGTCCTGACTCTTTGGCCGGTTTCGGGGTGCTAGACCCGGCTGAGGAGTTCACTCTACCTCTATAGTGTGCTGAGCAGATGAGGAACACCCGGGCATCCGTGCAGACTTGTCACTCGAGATTTAACTCCACCGGAAGCCAGAGCAGTCCAATCGTGGCCTACTGCTGTTGGGGCTGCCGAGAGGCAGTTGATCTCCTAGCCATTTGTAACCCAACAAGGTTATCCCGGTCCCCACTGAGCTACCCTGAGCTGTTTCTTTCGCACCACCGTTGCACACATGAGACATGTTACCACTACCTATACCACCCAGTATGGTGCCCGCCCTTCCTTGTGACACGCAGGACCTAGGTCTGATGCAGCTACCTAGCAGCAGTTATGCTGAGCATATCACACATCGCCTGGATGAGCTCTTCCAAAGGTTCTGGTCTACATTACAGGCCCGTGTACAAGCATCACTGCCCCCAGCCACCATCAATTATTTAGAGAGGTGCAGAGCCAAAAGGAAGGAGATTTCCTCAGGGCACACCACCTGTGTTACCTCCTTATCAAGCTACCATGCGCCCCTGAGAGCCCCCCTGAAACAAGGCCCTCCAATGTCAAATTACACCGGCCAAAGCCCTTGCACCATCACAGGCACTTGCCTCTTAGATCTTTGTTTTTTCTTTTTTTTTACGATTTTTATTAGAATAACATAATTTTGTTACAAACAGGATAAAGTCGAAGTCAGGATTAAGTCAATGGGGAATGCCCATGTGACCTGTCTCAGGTTACAGAAACAGTTAGGTGACGAACAGATATTATGTATATTTGCATCAATAATCAATATCCAGGGTCGATTTGCAGTTCTGTGGGTTTCATCTGGTGCATTTCATGATGTGGATTGCATAAATTTTAGCCAGGGTTCCCAAGTAAGGGGGTAAAATCTGTATTTATGTGTTAGAGAATATGTAAGTTCCTCCATATGTCTCACCAATTCTACTTTTTGGATCCACTCCCTGATGGATGGGAGTGCAAATCCAGATTTATGCCAGGGGATTGTATAGAGGAGAGTTTGGAAAACCAGGGGAACACATTGTTTTGTTGGTGTATGAGCCGACCAGTCGTATATTCTCGTGAGAATAATGGCTTTATGGTAGGAATCTATGTCTGGGAGGTTCAGTCCTCCCTGGGTTATGTGACGTGTCATGAGCTTGAACCACCTAGATCTTTTGGCTACCCCAGCAGGGGGAAAGACTTTGTTCTCCTGAGTTCTGTGGTTCCAAGATGTAGGCCCTCACTATGGTCTGGAGCTGGAGAGGACCCATGTCATAGTGAATACCTACATGTACTCTCCGGGTTGCACTCTACTCCTGCTGCTCATAGGGATTTGCTGAAAGTGTTTCGGATCCCATTACATGCCATACACACCTATGATGTGTCGGCGGACACTGTTTTCATGACTATGTCTGTTATGTGACTTATCACTATAATTTTTTTCCATGGTTTCTGTTTTACCTCTTTGTTTACTTTAATCCTTCACTTATGCTTTCCTCTTGAGTGGTTTTTAACCCATGTTATGTCTACGCATGATTGTCATTCCCTGCTACCCAAGTGACTAAAATATAAACAATGTGCAATGTCCATCCTTGCCACACAACTATACTGCAATGTTGATTTGCTTATATATGCTGTCGTGACTCCTTACCCCCCACCAATTTCCACTTGCTAGTTCGTTTGTTTACGTTATTGGTATTTGTATCATTTCTGCATTTTAGCAGTACATTTGCATTCTCTATTTGGCATTCGTGGGTTTCAGTGTTCGACACTTGGAGTTTTCAGTTACCATCAATACCACTTTTTTCAAGTTTACACAAATTTGATTATTAGGACCCATTTGGTTGTTCTTCATGCAAGTTATTTTAATGTATTTGTTAAAGAACATATAGTTTGGTAGTTTGTCACTCTTCAGGATGTTTTACGATCCTAAGAATTTGTAGTTTCTAGCCTCTTTCGGCTAATCACAATAAATTCTATTTAGTTGTATTTCACCCTAGATGGGCAGCTGTACTAGTTAAATTGTCAAGTTGCTTTTACATGCTATTTTGGGTATTTATTCTCTCATAAATGTTGTATATATTTATTACACAGTAAGGTTACATGTATTGCACTGTATTTGTCAAAGTTTGCTGGCTAGTCATGGTAATTTATACCAATCCTTTTCTAATACAGTATTACTGCAAACCTACAAACCAGTACCAGTAGTACAACAAACCAGACGTCAACTATATATTAACTCTGCATTTGTGTTTAGATAAGATTTATGACTATTGTAATTCATATTTGTCCAGTTCTCTTGTGGGCCCATACATGACTAGTGGTTTTCCCGCCTAGTCATCCTACACAGTATTTTTTTTTTCACAGCATCTCTTCTTTCAACTATTATAAGTTGGACAATTAGAAGGTCCAACAAAGGTTAGTCGCCTTGAGGTTTCTCTATGCAAATTTCTGTTCCCGGTACTTGGTCCCCAGTTACTTTCATTTGTTTTCAGTCATTAGTATTTATTATAAAGCCATCACTGGGCCTTTCTTTCACTATTACGGGGTAACCATTAAAACCCACGCCGTTTACTCGTTTATTCATCCCTATCCCTGGGTTGACGTGGGGTCAACGATATGCATACATTCAAAACGTTTCAATTTTAACTTAAGTATTAGGCTTGTTTTATGTATGTTTATGATCTCTAATATCCAATGGGATATTTACTTTCTGTTATACTACTATCTGTTGCTTTTGTTTAGAGGTTCATCTCCACCGTTTGTCAACCAGGACAAATGGATTTCTGGTCCTCTGCCACTCAGGTATATTGGTTTCCTTTTCCTTCACATGATGGTCATGGGTTCCTATTTTATGTTCTTATACGTATCACTATTATTTATAGGTCACAGTCCTTTTCCTATTCAAGTTATGATCACGTCCATCCTTCAAGTGTATGTGAAGTTGCATCCTTCTTTCCACTGTATTTCCTTTCTATCCACAGTAAATAATTATTTGGTGTATTTACTTTAATAGGTGCACACTTACTACAGGTCTTCCCTCTGACTATTTCTTGTCTACCAAGGTACGTACGTTTATCGATGACGCTCAGCATGTAATGGTCAAGACCCCATCTAGGATAAGAGAACTAGCTGTTAGGGGCAGGTGCTGGCCCTTGCTTACTATAATTAATCTTTATTTTAGGTTAACTTCTTGCCTTACAACGGAGGTTTTGTCCAAATGGCCAATGTCATAGTTATAGCCTTGCATACCTTTCTGCAGGGTCGTAGTCAGGGCCTCACATGTCACTGCCACACATTTTATGTCTCATTAATTGTCACAAGCAGTGTGTGTGTATGAACTCAGCAGTCTGTGTGTGTGTGTGTGTGTGTGAGAACTCAGCAGTCTGTGTGTGTGTGTGTGTGGACTCAGCAGTCTGTGTGTATGGACTCAGCTGTCTGTGTGTGTGTGGACTCAGCAGCCTGTGTGTGTGTGGACTCAGCAGTCTGTGTGTGTATGAACTCAGCAGTCTGTGTGTGTGTATGAACTCAGCAGCCTGTGTGTGTGTGGACTCAGCAGTCTGTGTGTGTATGAACTCAGCAGTCTGTGTGTCTGTGTGTGTGTGTGTGGACTCAGCAGTCTGTGTGTGGACTCAGCAGTCTGTGTGTGGACTCAGCAGTCTGTGTGTGTGTGGACTCAGCAGTCTGTGTATGAACTCAGCAGTCTGTGTGTATGGACTCAGCAGTCTGTGTGTGTGTATAGACTCAGCAGTCTGTGT